ATATGAGTATGGCTCCTTTTATGGAAAAATAACTTCCTAATGATACAATCAAATATCTAAATGTCCTAAGTGATCATTATAGAGAAGAAATATTTCATAAATCTTTTCACAAAGGGAAAGGACCTTTTGTAAAGTGACAACTCATGTCTAATATATACAGTTAACAGTGTCAGCCTTTCTCAAAGCAAGATGCCCCTTACCTATGTATGCATCTTCTACCTGCATTTACTAACCTACCACTTCCTCGCTCTCTGATAAACTGTTTGCCAGTAAGTACAATGAACATTTTAGTAAGAAATTCATTCTAAGTTATTTGAGTAGCCAATATTCTGAACTTAGTGCTAGGAAAATTCTGATGATTATATTTTCTCTGGGTGTGCCCCCTTTACCACAGACACATATCAACGAATCTCTCTTTCTCTTCATTCCTAGTGCTACTGCCTTACCCTGAATCCCCAACCTGTATAGGAAACCCTCGTGTGGGATCCCCTAACCTGCTTCCCAAATTATGAGCAAGCTCAGAACATTTCAAGCCCCTTGACTTCAATTGCTGTTAGTCCCATCTTATGTTGTCTGATCTTCGCATTCAAAGTGAAGAACTGGTTGGGTTCAAACTAAGAAGGTCACAAAGAACTACACTTGTATGTTGGGTGCCTAGAAAAAGTTACAGTCACGTATATATTTCCTGTTCTGGCTATCGCTATCCTTGTGAAATGTATACATGACACAATTCAAATAAAATGACTTTCACCTTCTCAGTCAGGAAATGTCCCTGGAAGTATGGATCCTGCTGAGATGGAAAATGGCAGTTAAAAACAGAAGACAAGAGAAAAGCCAGGTGTCATCTGGTTGATGGCAATTCTGCTCTCTGATTATAGGATACATGTTTCCCTTTTAATGTGACTGCCTGGGCTGAATCAAAGAATACTGGCTGAATCTCAGGATCTAGATCCACAGTTTTCAATGTAAACAGCCATCATTAGGTAATATCTTTCAAAGACATTTTTATAAAATGAACCCCAAAACCACAAAGGGACTTCTCACACCACAACTTTCTTCCGTAAGTTTACTGCTGAAAAAGGTGTCTACTACTTGGGAGCACAAATTGTTCCTGCTGCTGAAGTTTTCCATCTACCTAATAGCAACTCTACTCTGTAAATAACACAGAAATTGCTGGGAAAAAAAAATCCCATTAAGTGACTTTCAAAACAGTTCAAAGCTGTTCTGACCAGAGAGACACTGAGGGAGAGAGACAGAGTTCATAAAAAATTACAACATTAAATGAACATTTTGCAACAGGAAAAACATGTTGAATCAAGACAATCAATAATCTAAGATCAAAGAGAATTCAGTTTTCAGAGTAAACCAAAGAAAATCATATTGCTCTTTCAATTTAACACTAGCTATTAAAATGCATAATTGATGTAACATGCTAAGAAAACAAGTGAAGATTATGATATTGCAGCCCCACAGAGGTCTCATAAACAAGCTTGCCTTATCACCCACATAGAGGCAGGCAGTGGTTCCTAGGGAGTCATTTTCTATATGGAAGATAGGAGGCAGAGCTAATATGACATAGGATTGATTTTTATCTGAAGTTTTGTGACTTAATTTTCCAAATGACCACCTCTTACAGCAGGCAGGATAGAGACAGATTCCAACTTCCTGTCCCTGCTCGTATGAGGCCCTTCATAATTCTACTTATTAACATATTTTGTCTCTCAAAGCAGCTTCACTGACTTTTTCCCCCCATCCTCCCCCTCTTCCTACTCAAAAAGTATAACATCATATTTCTTACATTTCTTCTTAGTGACTCTCCTGACTGGCTATGTTGTCTCTGGCCACTACCATCTCCTCTCTTACTCCACCTCCTTTAAAATACCAAATTCTCTATCTCCCCATGAAACCTAAAACCTTTTCTCATATGCTGGACTCCAAGGAGCAATATGTGAACCATGAAATTCCAGATGTTCAAGATGATTTAGAAAAGGCAGAGGAATCAGAGATCAAATTGCCAACATCCGCTGGATCATCAAAAAAGCAAGAGAGTTACAGAAAAGTATCTATTTCTGCTTTATTGACTATGCCAAAGCCTTTGACTGTGTGGATCACAATAAACTGTGGAAAATTCTGAAAGAGATGGGAATACCAAACCACCTGACCTGCCTCCTGAGAAATCTGTATGCAGATCAGGAAGCAACAGTTAGAACTGGACATGGAACAACAGACTGGTTCCAAATAGGAAAATGAGTATGTCAAGGCTATATATTGTCACCCTGCTTATTTAACTTCTATGCAGAGTACATCCTGAGAAACGCTGGGCTGGATGAAGCACAAGCCGGAATCAAGATTGCCTGGAGAAATATCAATAACCTCAGATATGCAGATGACACCATCCTTATGGCAGAAAGTGAAGAAGAACTAAAGAGCTTCTTGATGAAAGTTAAAGAGGAGAGTGAAAATGTTGGCTTAAAGCTCAACATTCAGAAAACTAAGATCATGGCATCCGGCCCCATCACCTCATGGCAAATAGATGGGGAAACAGTGGAAACAGTGGTTGACTTTATTTTTCTGGGCTCCAAAATCACTGCAAATGATGACTGCGGCCATGAAGTTAAAAAATGCTTACTCCTTGGAAGGAAAGTTATGGCCAACCTAGACAGCATATTAAAAAGCAGAGACATTACTCTGTCAACAAAGGTCCATCTAGTCAAGGCTATGGTTTTTCCAGTAGTCATGTATGGATCTGAGAGTTGGACTATAAAGAAAGCTGAGCACCGAAAAATGGATGCTTTTGAACTATGGTGTTGGAGAAGACTCTTGTGAGTCCCTTGGACTGCAAGGAGATCCAACCAGTCCATCCTAAAGGAGATCAGTCCTGGGTGTTCATTGGAAGGACTGATGTTGAAGCTGAAACTCCAATACTTTGGCCACCTGATGCGAAGAGTTGACTCATTGGAAAAGACCCTGATGCTGGGAGGCATTGGGGGCAGGAGAAGGGGACGACAGATGTTTGGATGGCATCAGCAACTCAATGGAGATGAGTTTGAGAAGACTCCGGGAGTTGGTGATATATAGGGAGGCCTGGAGTGCTGTGGTCCATGGAGTCTCAAAGAGTCGGACACAACTGAGCAACTGAGCTGAACTGAACTGAAGGAGCTCCTTGTTTCTTTCTGGTATAGCTTACAGAATTCTTCAATACCCTTCAATAACCTGCGTGAGATCTGCTTAGTCCTAGCATTCTGCCTGGCAATTGTAGTTTAGCTTCTTTCCTCAAAATGTAAAGGACAGAAGCAGCCAAAGTTACTGCAAGTCATATGTTTTTGAGAAGTATTACCAATAGTTCTATGGAGGAACAAAGAGAAGGCTTTTCACAGTTAGTTTCCAGGATGAAGCTTACAAAACTGTGGTGCAATAAAAAGAACCTTAAATTTGAAATTAAAATATCTGTTCTCAGGTCTACTTCTTAGCTATAAGACCTTGAGTAAGTGAACAAACTGCTGAGTCAGATTCTACATTGATGAATTTGAATCAGTAGTTCCTGCCCTAACAGGTTACTTAGAGAATATATGGTAGACTAGTAGAAAATTTTATCTATAATATACATTACTTGTAATATATATTATATACATTTATCTTTTTCTTATTGTTACATTGAACCTAATTTATCTTAAACAATAAGCCTATATAGAGATAAGGGACAATCTCAGGAAATACAGATGACTGATGATCTTCTTGTCAAGAGACCTTCAAGAATGGCAGTTTGTCATGGTCATCAATTTGATTTTGACCAGAATTGATGCATCCAGGGAGGCTGATTGATGCCAAGGAAACTCATAAACAACTGATGTACAAACCAAAATGCCACTTCCTTTTTCAGTTTGTAGTTACATGGTAAGCTGAATTAATAATAAAAGAGTCACTTGGCAATTATGAGATTAGTTTAAAGGGAACTTGGGTCATTATAAGGTAGGTTTACCTGTGTTCTGTTGAGACCAGTGAATTTCCCTGTGCCAAAGTGGAAAATGTCTCTGGTCTGGTGTCTTTCAGATTCAGCACTTCTCCTCTGCACATTGCTGAATTTATATTCTAAATTCTTCTCTGACTTCCCCTTTCTCTAAATTCCATGATACTATCTCCTCTTTTGATGATACACCCTAGATTTTGGAATATCACTAATTAAGCTACAGGTAAGTCACTATTCTCTGAGCCTGGGGTATATTAAGTCTCCTTCCATTATGTATTGATTTAAATTTTCTAACTGTCACAGTTCTAGGGGTGCCCCACTGGAACAACCTAAGGCTGCTATCAGGTACCTTTGTGTTGGCTGAATAGGCCAAGTGATTAGCCTGGATTTCTCATACTCTCTTAGCCCCGCTGGGCATGTTACATTGCATATAAATTATAGTCATTTATTCAATTAAGTAGGGAAAATGGATAAGCTAATTTCCCCTGCCTACCTTCTATTGGGTTATGTTCTACCAAGGTTAAATGAAATAGTTAAATCCTGCAAGCTCATTAGATTTTATTTGATTCTGGGAATAATTTTATGATTCTGGTCTCCTGTAGAAGAAAAGGACCTGTGGCCTAAGAAGTATTAGATGGTAATCTTCCTAAGCCAAAAGATAATTTCATAGAAACAACAAAATATTGGACATGAACCCAGTAAAAGGCAACTCTAATAGTTTCCTGAAATACACTTCAAGCAAAAGTATACACGTGAGATATAGATGTGTTCAAAACAAAGTGCCAGATACTATTCTTTTTCAGATAGACTTATCACTTTCAACAGTAAAATTTTTCAAATATTTAGAAGAGAGTTAATTTGATAAAAATTGATTTACACAAATGTATAAAGAACACATCTACTTACTGTACTTATCAAGAATCTTTTGTAAAGAAAAATACAATGGGCTGTACATTTTAGACACTAGAAATATCAAAAGTTCCTCAGTATTGATGATTTAATTACCTTTTCCTGTTTATTTTATTTGTTCCAGATTTAATCTACAAAATTGAGCTTGCAGGAGGCCTGGGAGCAATCTTCCTCCTCCTTGTACTGCTTGTGGTCATCTACAAATGCTACAATATTGAATTAATGCTCTTCTACCGACAGCATTTTGGAGATGATGAAATTGCAGATGGTAAGCTATCTTTTGTTGTTCAAGCTCAATTAAAAAGCATGAATTTGTGATTATGTAAGAGAATATCCCTATTCCTAGGAGATACAAGATGAAAAATTTAAAGTTAAAAGGGTATGACTAGTGCAATTTACCCTCAAATAATTCAGAAGAAAATGCTTTTAATCTATCAAGAAAGAGAGCAAAGGTAATAAAATACTAACAATAGATGAACCTGGGTAAAGTATATATGGGTGTTCTTTAAAATAGTTTTATTTCTTGAAATTATTTCAAAAAACAGTTTAACAAGGAGATATTAGTTGGTCAGGAGATCAGCCAATTCTGTCAAAACCCTTACTAAGAAACAAATTAAGAACCAAGTTTATTTTTTTCTCTAGAAAATTCAAATTTAGGTACAGATCATATTTAGCTCTTCCTGGCATCAAAGAAAACCAAAATTATTCAAGAAACATATTAATAGCCATAGAGATACTCGATTTAAAGCTAATAGTACATCTGGACCCACATATTTTGTGTGATTTTGTAACAATTCTCAAAGGTGACTTCAAAGGAAAAAATTTCTGATTGTAGTTTATAATTTTCTTATGTTTGCCATTCATGGCTTGTGGAAATCTTATAAATGAGATATTAGCAAAACATTGTACTGAGCCTGTTTCTTTGAACATTCAAAAATGAGTTAATTTTTCAAGAGAACAAACTACCATACGTCCCAATCAAAACTAATAAGAAATCATGACATATCACTCCTTATGCATACGGTCTTCACCAGCAAACTACTATAAGCCTTGGAAATGTGTGTATGGAATGCCCAAGGTAAGCCAAGGTAAAAAAGAAGTCCAATTGTAAGTCATTACTTTAAAAAGCCAAATTTAAATCTTAGTTTTCATTGTACTATAATAATGAAACTTAGAGCTTTTGTTTTGTTTTGAGATCCTCAAAGGAGAAGAGTTTATGATTTTGTTTTATTTTTATAGTGATAGGAGAAGGACAGAGTGGTGATGGTAACATCAAAATTTTTGAGGAACCTTTGATATTGGTCTTATTGTTACTATTATGTGAACAATGATATGAGTATGTTCTAATTGACTTCTATATTTTCACAGTAAATTAGAGAAATGCTGTTTGATGAATACATGTGCATGCTTATTATCAAAGCAGTGTTTTCACCTAATGATTGTAGCAGCCTATTTAAAAGTATCACAGGCCCTTTTTCAGATATATCTTTAAAATGAGAAATTAAAGCCTGTTCTGACCATGATTATAGGTTCCAACAATATGTATGAAAATGTAGTCAGTTACCTTCAGTTTCTGTATACAATAATTAATACTGGAAAATCTGACTCCTTAACCTCTACACATAAAATAATGAGATGAAATATGCTATTGGGGAAAATTTCACTGTTTTCCAAGTGCCAATGAATGGCTAAATGGGAATAGCAATTAAGAGTGTTAAAGATGCATTGTCTATATGAAAGTACATGAAAGGGAGTCTACTGTGATTCATTTGCTTTAGGTCATGATTACAAGCAATTTGTTAAAACTTTCTGTAAGTGAGGTGAAATAATTTACTAAGTTCATCTGAAATAATTACTTTCATCATCCATATCTGATAATCCAGACTAACTGATCAGTTGTAGTACATATTTGTAAGATTAAATTCATGCTAATATCATAGGACATTTTGCATCCATATCTTCAATATTGCCCAAGTGACCAAAGATGACAAGTAATCTAGAGCATTTTGGTTAGAGAATTGAGTGTATTGATTCCAAACCAATTATTTTAGGGAAAAAAATGCAATGGTGGGGGACTTCAAGGGTTTTCAGCAGGAAGGAAAATTAAAATAGTTTATATTCCTACATGGAACTTGGACCTTAAACACACAGTCTCTGTACTAGTTGAATGGAATACTAAAAAGTCAGCAGATATATAGTGAGGATGAATAAATGAATATTAAAAGCCTTTTAGATATATCCGGTTTCACGATGCAAAATGTCAACTAGATAGCCTATTGAATTTTTCATTTCTTTATTTTGACATCTCAAAGACACACCATAGTTTTACCCATGTACCTTTTGTTCATGTTTTCTCTTTGATTCATATCCATAGTAGCATTTCCTGAAAGTCATTATAAAATGCCACATTTTTATAAAATAAAATCTACTTTGACTTCTTAAACATATTTGATATAATTAATTTCATTTCAATTCATCAATGCTTGCTTAATTTATTTGACCTTTGAATTATACAGTTATTAAATACTTACTAAGTGTCTACTATGTACCAAGCACCATGAATGATGTATTTACTTACATATTAAATATATTCTTCATCTGGATTAATCCTATACATACAGACACTGGTAGTATAGTAAGCATTGGGGACATAATACTCCACAAAGTTACACAGTCTTTGCACTTTAGAAACTAAAGGATTTAGTACTATGTTTAGCAGAGGCCCAGAAGAACTGGCACCCACCCAGTGCTCTCGCCTGGAGAGTCCCAGGGACGGAGGAGCCTGGTGGGCTGCAGTCCATGGGGTCGCGAAGAGTCGGACCCGACTGAGCGACTTCACTTTCACTTTTCACTTTCATGCATTGGAGGAGGAAATGGCAACCCACTCCAGTGTTCTTGCCTGGAGAATCCCAGGGACGGGGGAGCCTGGTGGGCTGCTGTCTGTGGGTTCGCACAGAGTCAGACACGACTGAGTGACTTAGCAGCTGCAGCAGAACTGCATTGTAAACAGGAACCACTTCCTGATGGTGAACAGGATTAAAATGAAATTTTAAAATGGGAAGGACAGTGTGACAACAGAAAAATTCTTCCACAGACAATTTGGTTCCCTTCATCCTAACTTCTCTCTTCTTCGGGAATAGCATACCTATGGTGACGACTGTGCCAGCCCTCTCCTTTATAAAGTATTGTACTGTTTTCTGGCTTCTCAGAAGAGCATAGTCAGCATGATTTAATAAAGAGGAAGGGTCATTAGCCTCACGTAACAAAGTGGTGTTGCTTAATGGCCGTTCGGTTTTAAAACAATTTTTAGGACTTGCTGTTAACCTTTATTCGCATTGTATCGTATCATTGACATTGCTTTATCTGTCTTGCTCCTCTTTGTGAGCAACAGCTGTGGATATTCATGAGGTTTTCTTGGCTGTCTACATAGAGCTGAAGTGCATTTTTTAAACTGTGGCATCTGTGCCACTGCTCGCTCACTAGCTGGCATCCTCGGCCCTCTGGGACATCTGACATAGTGGCTCTGAGTGCTCTCTTCCTGCTCTTGCCAGCTACCATAAGCTCTTCACCTCTAGTTCATCTTAAAGGGACATAACTGAAACCAGGAGCAACCATTTTCCAAAGAATGATGTATTTCTAGAGTGGTATATACAATTTGTTATCCAGACATGTTGAAGGTTAACACAAAGACATCCATGTTCTTTGTCATAACTTGACTTGAGATATAGCAATATTTTTCTGGAAAAAAAAAGTCTTGATCCCCCGGAGAAGGAAATGACAATCCACTCCAGTATTCTTGCCTGGGAAACCTCATGGACAGAGGAGCCTGGTGGGCTGCAGTCCATGGGGTCTCAAAAGAATTGGACATGGCTTAGCAACTAAACAACAACAAAAACACCACGTATATTAGTGTATAGGTGAAGCAAATAAGGACAGGGCCAGGAATATGGAGATTAGGCATAGTTGGAGGGCAAGTTGTCATAGTCTGGACAAGCAATGGGGCGAGTCTAGAAGTTCTGGCCAGATGGGTAAAAGAGTCAGGTAGTCATAGTGGATGGCTAGCTCATAGTAGATGCCCAACAAAAAAACATTGTTGAATGAATTAATAAGTAGTTGAATTTCGAGAGGTTTGTGAGTTAGAGTTATCAAAGTCAGAGGAAACTAGAGTCTAGTCTGACATTATGGAGTTTGAGGCAGCAACACCATCTATCAAGAAAGATGAAATACATTCTGCTCATAGAAATGGATCTGTTTGTCCTTTGGCCTATTTTATTCTTCCAGCTGTGTATCATCAGTAACTCTCAGTCCCAGGGGAGTAATTATAGCTGGGGAAAGTCAAGGGCCTGCAGGTGCATCCTGAGCCTGATTGGAACAGGGGCAGAGGTGCTAGGATTACCAGGAGGTTCTTACATTAGCATTGCTTGTGAACATTCTCACTTCCAAGTGGTGTTTTATGCATAACAGTGGAATGTGCCTCATTTGTAAGCCAAGTGATCTCAACTATTGGGGCAGTCCTCCATGTGTGTGTGTTCCTAAGCAATCAAGTAACCCAACCAAGGCTCACACAAGTCTTTTCTAGCTAAAGGACAGGCTAAAGGGAAGCCTCCTGGCTTCAAGCACCATCTTAACATAAATAACCGGGGTTCCTTTCATGTGGGGGTAGTGAAGCCTGGAACTTTACTAGAATTAGAACAATATAATCCTGACTCAGTTATCACTACAATAGTCAAAGGGGTCCTGTGTGCTTCTTACCATAGCGTATTTGTCGTTATTGTTTGGTCTCTAAATCATGTCCAACAATTTGCAACCCCATGGACCATAGCCCACAAGGCTCGTCTGTCCATAGGATTCTCCAGGCAAGAATACTGGAGTGGGTTGTCATTTCCCTCTCCAGGGGATCTTCTCAACCCAGGGATTGAACCCCCAAGTCTCCTACACTGGCAGGCAAATTCTTTACCACTGAACCACCTTGGAACTCATAGGATATTTATATCTCCTTATGTGCCTATCATGTATACCTCTTTCAGCAGTTAGAACCAAATTATTAAGGTATAAGGAAAATGAGTGGCTGCTTCGTTCTGTAAAGTATATTTTGGTCAGGTTTTAGCTATAATCTAATCAGGTCTGTTTTAATGGAAAATATTTCTGTGCTTTAGAAACAAAATCTGAAATGTTTTCTGGTCTTTTAAAATTATTTGCAAGTAACTAGTTTTAATAAATAATAATAGTTCCATATGAATCTAGACTCACCACATTAAAAAATTTTCTATAAATAAGGGAATTTTAAAAACCACTATAACTTTTCCAGTGTGTCCCTTCTAAAACCAGTGGGGACTAGTACTTTGAGTGGCTGTAATCATTAATAAAATCAGGGAAAAACTCTGTGTGTGTATACACATACATACACATGCACATTTTCTCTTTGGGGAGACTGGCTCTGAGCCAATACAGCAAAGGAGGAAAAAAATACATTCTTAAAGCACAGTTAACTCTGACTAAATGGGTGAAGGGAAAACCTAATTTGGCAATATTGGAAGGATGTATATTTTTAAACAAAGGCTTCTTTTGGAAGTTTGTGTCAAATTAGTTGACCATGGATTGAACAAGAATAACAGGCAATGCATTTGTATAAAACCCAGCTGCTGTCTCTAATATTTGGTAATGAACTGCATTTTGTATATGAGGATGACGACAGTAACCAACTGGAAGTATGGTATTTGTTTCAAGTAGAGTCTCCAGGAGTGAAGCTAGATTATTTCAATCTTCCACACTCCAGAGCCCAGCCTCTTTTGGATCTCTTGCACATATTTGTGCAAACAAGGTATAGTCTGTGAACCAAGTAACAGAGCCAAGCCAACCGGCACAGAAAGAGTTAAGATTCATGACTTTGGTCTATGCAGTCCTTCATTCAAACACACTGAGCTAATCATTCACACCAAAAGTTACAAATAATTCTCTTTTATTCTGTCAAAACTATATGTTGCCCATTGCATAGCAATTTCAGTTCATATCCCATGACTATAACTGGATTGTGTTGAAATGTACTAGGTTTCTTACGGCATGGCATGTGACTTATTTTTTCTAATTGTTAATGATGGTTATTAATTATACTGCTTATTCTAGCCTGTTAATTATTACAGATATTTAGTCCTGAAAGAGAACCTGATAAGCATACATACAACCCTTTTGTTTTTCTTTGTATCTAAGACAACAAGGAATATGATGCCTATCTCTCTTACACAAAAGTGGACCAAGATACTTTAGACTGTGACAACCCTGAAGAAGAGCAATTTGCTCTTGAAATATTGCCAGATGTGCTGGAAAAACACTATGGATATAAACTATTCATCCCAGAAAGGGACCTAATCCCAAGTGGAAGTAAGTACTTTTGAGTTTTGCATTTTAAAAGTTTGGTTTCACTTAAGAAGTTATATGGAGACTTCAAATGTCAGAGCCAAGTATTTAGTTTTTTTCTTACAGGAGATTTTATTAAATTCAAAATTTTCCCCAACACCTGTGTTATGACTTTTTAGCATCCAAATTTTTTTAAAGGCACTCTCACCTATATTTTAGGTATGGTTTTAAAACTGTGATTTAATTGTACATTTTACTATATTGCCTTAGTGCTCTTAGAAAAATGAAGATCCTTTAAAAATTGTATAAGTCAGATCTTTTTTTTGCATTTCAGATTTTCAATGCATTTCAGTTCCAAAACTGACCTTCTGTCATTGTGTTTCTACTTATACCTACAATCATTGTCACTAATAACTCTGAATTTAAGACTTGATATTCATTTCCAGATTTAGAGAAAAATCCACTTAAAAAAAACATAAGACACATGTACCCGAATGTTCACTGCAGCACTGTTTACAATAGCTAGCACATGGAAGCAACCTAGATGTCCATCAAGAGATGAATGGAAAAAGAAACTGTGGTACATATACATACACAATGGAATATTACTTAGCCATTAAAAGGAATGTATTTGACTCAGTTCTAATATGGTAGATATTATACAGAGTGAAGTAAGTCAGAAAGAGAAAAACAAATATCATATTTTAACTCATATACATGGAATCTAGAAAGATGGTACTGATGAACCTATCTGCTTGGCAGCAATGGAGACGCAGACATAGAGGACAGACTTGTGGACACAGAGTGGGAAGGAGAAAGTGGGACAAATTTAGAGAGTAACATTGAAATATATATATTGTCACATGTAAAATCAGATAGCCAGTGGAAATTTGCTGGATGATACAGGGAGACAACCAAGAGGGGTGGGATAGGGTGGGAGGTGGGCGGGAGGTCAAGGGGGAGAGGGCATACAGATACCTATGGCTGATTCATGTTGATGTATGGAAGAAACCAACACAACATTATAAAGTAATGATTCTCCAATTAAAAAATAAATCAAACTTTGAAATGTATATGAGGCCATGGGGCATGGCACCTCATTGTGTATTTAAATTCTTTTTAAGGAGTTCTAGACTATGGGGCACTCCAGTCCTCTTGCCTAGAAAATCCCATGGATGGAGGAGCCTGGTGGGCTGCAGCCCATGAGGTCGCTAAGAGTCAGACACGACTGAGCGACTTCACTTTCACTTTTCACTTTCATGCATTGGAGAAGGAAATGGCAACCCACTCCAGTGTTCTTGCCTGGAGAATCCCAGGGACGGCAGAGCCTGGTGGTCTGCCGTCTATGGGGTCGCAGAGTCGGACACGACTGAAGCGACTCAGCAGCAGCAGCAGACTATGGGGAGGGCTTTAGTGCCACTTTTCAATTATGCTACATATTGAAAGTTATATTTGAGTTTCCAGAATAAATTCAGGTTCAAGTAAAAAATATACTTTTTTCCTTTTACTGTTCAGAGTATTGTACATGGTAGTATAAGATAATTACAGAAAAGATATGGCCCCTACCCTCAAAGAGCTTAAAATGTCATTGCCGGAAACTAAAAGTGCTAGAATTAGTTCGCATGTATATATGAACATCCCTGGGAAGAGGAAATTAAACTGTAAGCACAAATCAGAATATAGTTATTTATACACAAGGGATAACAAAATTAAAAAGCTTATATTTTCAGTACTTGACTGTATATAGAATATTTACAGATAAATTGTTTCATTCCATCCTTAAGAACAGGCACTATTATCTTCATCTTACAGATGAGGAAATAAGACCTGAAAGAAGTCCAGTATCAGTCAGCTGGCAAATGGTAGAGATGGAATTAGAACCTAGATCTGTTTGGTTCTCACTCCTCATTATTTATTCCTCAATAATGTTAATTCAAATGATCAGAAGTCCACCATGGTCACTAGCTGGCAAGAAACAAATTGAAACAACTGAGTTTTGGTTGTTCATCACTTTTTCTCAGCGTGCATATATTTCTGTATATGTTTGGGTTTTCACGTGAGTATGCACACTTACACATTCATAGGAAGAAACCAGACAATATTTACTGGTACACTACTTTCAACAAATGTAAGACTTCCTCAGATTTCTTACCTTGGTCCTCACCTCTTTTCTTTCTGTAATTTCCTTCATTTTCATGACTTGAAATGCCAGTTATACATTGATTGAGCCCCAAGGAACATGCTGATACCTCAGAGTCATTTTTGATTCTTTGGTATCTCTCTCCCAAATCCAGTGTCCATTTGTATCTTTTCCATGATCACTTCCACCATTCTAGTATAGGCCCTAATCAACTCATTCCTCCATGCCTATTACTCTTTGCCTTCCCTATTTTTCCTCTCATCCATCTAGTCCCACTAATATGTATACCTCCTTCATCATGTCTCTCCCCTATTCAACAATACTTCACCATTTCTTACAGGATTAAATCTACTAACCCTTAGCTAAACACTTCTACAGTCTAGTGCCAGCCCAAATTTATCTCCTAAAGTTTTCTCCTACCATTTCCCTTACCCATTCCTTACTCATTTCCCTTACCAATTTCCCTTACCCATTCCCATACTCCAGCTAAACTATGCCTTTCATGTACACTGTATGTCCTTGCAATGCTTTTGTTCATGTTAGTCTTCTATACCTTTAAAAATCCTATTTATCCTCTCCATATCACTGCCTCTGTGAAAACTCCGTAATGATTTCTCTGACTCTAGAGTACGTGGGGTATAATCACTTGCTTGACTATAAATTTTGTATTCCTGTGATATTTTGTATTATTTTTGTATGTAGCTTTCTACCTATGTATGTCTTATCTTCTCAGTGAGATTGTAAGCTCCATGAGGGCAGGGACTGTCTCTCATTCATCTACATACCCCTGTTATAATCTAACAGAATGCCTGAGCTCAGTAGATGCTAAATAGATGCTTGCTGATTTTGTTTCAATAGTGTTGGTTTAAGACAAGAGGAAATGAAATAAAAGTTTTAATATTTGCATGGCAGTATCTGAAAGGCCTTTTAAACAAGTGAATAAGAAAGCTAAAAAGCTTTCTGCTGAAAGAAACTGTAATTCATAGGAATAGTCTCAGTCCTAACGTATATTTTTTTCAGATTTTAGAAAGAATATCTACAAGAGGTTGAGGTTGAACATTAGTGAAATATCAAAAATATCCCTTTAGTATTTTTTGTTTAATTCATTAGATTACTATGTATTTTTTGCATTTTTTGCCAAGAGCATCTCGTTAACTATCAAAATTCTGCAACATCAATTTTTAGATAGCGTCCTAAATTGTATTCAGATAATAGCATTACCAAAGTGGAATTTATATTCTATGTCAAGTCACCTTCAGTAGGATTCAGTGTGGATTCAATTTCTGCTTTATTGCATTACAAATTTGTTGGCACCACAATAGACAGTCTTTATCAACCCCACTACGTGACTTAAAAATGTCACCCTTCATGTCTGAACATGTCAACTTTGATTATCTTTCTTCTGACCCAGAAAGCAATACTTCAACATTGTGCACATCAGGAAGAGAAACAGGGACAACTTGGAACATAGGTGAGCCTCTTTACCTGAGACTCAATAGAGGACACTTGCTTATTATATAAAGCAGTACCTAGTGTGCATGGGTCAGCATGAGACCCATGAGACCCAGAGTAAGATCATGAGAGCAAGAGAAATGAATCTGCAAATTGCATTTTCTTCATTCTTTGTTTATTTTGATGACTTGACAGGTCAATTGAATCAACATGCTGTGTCAATTTCGCCAAACAGGTGGTAGAATATTTTATACCTCACAGAGTCAGCTAGTTGATTGGCGAAAATGATTAGTTGTTTTGGTGTATCATAGACAGGTCTGAATGTCCTCCTTGACCGTGGGATGTGAGGCTTATGCAAGTCATATTTCCTAGCATGAAAGTACAAGATTTTAATTGAGGACTGTAATACACAACATAAGGGATAATAGGAGGTTGTTGCCTTATTTATCCTAGCATTTAAATAACTTAATATAAAAATACCCAAGATGATGTTATTAGGATGAAGAGGGATTTTATAGTCCATAGAAGATCATTTTAATTTTTTGAGATGATACAACAATTAAACTAAGCAGGGAGTTGGATCCTGGGTACTCAATGGTACACAGGAAATCTGCTTTTACAACTAAGAGACAACTATGCAGTTTTCAGATGCAACCACTGGAGGGTGTTTGATTTTAATCCTTCCTTCCTGAATGAGAAAATTCATGTTCTCTGAATTCCGATTTGTGAGTGTAACCTGCAGAAGTTCTTAAAAAGGCCCTTTGACAATTTTTCCTTTCCATCAACATTTCAGAGCTGGCTGAGCAGTCACCATGTCACGATTAACGAGTTTTTCCTTGGCATTTTTAGCACGCATTCAGGAAGTCAATGAAGTATATGAATAATATACTTGATTTACACATGAATGACAGAGTAGAACATTTTGGACTTAGTGTATATGTGTTATTAAAGAAGCTTCTATGGTCTGTAGTCGCAGCCATTGGTACAGATTTAACAGGTTATGCTATATAAATATAGACACATTCCTGTGGGGGGGCACTAGTTACAATATTATAAGCTGTGTTTGTCCCTCACATCGCATTTAAAACATGTTGACCCAAGACTGCTCCTTCCTCTAAAAACTAGCAGTGAGGCCTTTGAGGATTGTAAAAGCAGACTTCACAGCATTCTTGACCTACAACAATAATTTTCTATGAATCAAACTAATGAAATATTTTAAATAAACCCATTCATGTTTAACACCTTCATTTTTTATGTATCTTCAGTTTCTTTTTCACCACTCTCATGGTATTTCAACTCAACCTCATCAACACACAAATCTCTCCAATGCATACAGTTTCAAAAGTACATAAATGTGTCTCCCTTACCTTATCTCCCCCTCCCCCTCCCCCTCTCCTCCCCACCACCCACACATGTGACCATGAGTTCTCAG